TGCTCACATCCTCACCTGTGATGCATCTAGTGTGGCATGCTGCATTTTGCAAGAAAAATGCAGAATTTGTCAAGAAAACTTTTATTGAAGCAAATCATGAAAGTTAATCTTTCATGTAGCATTCATCACATGGTTAAATATTTTTATTGCTCTTTTCTTTTAAAAACAAAATGAAGTAATCACTTGAGGTTTTGGTGTATGTGTACATGATGACAGGAGCCAATAGTCAAGCCATTTAACTTGGCCATGGTCTCACATCTAGAACTTCTCCTTCTCTTTCTTTTCTTTTATCTCTCCTTCTTGGTGTGAGAACACTTGGTATCTACCCTGTTGACAAATTTCACAAATGTAATTTTTCCACCTTCTTGCATGTAACCTTCATCCTCAGCTTGCTTCTCTGGTGCTGAAAAACTGAATATATTTATTTCAGGCTTTATACACTGGCCTTATCATCCAGAATAAAAAAGAGCATCTTCCTTCCCTCCATTAACCACAAAAGTCAGAAGGCTAGTGACCCGTGACACCTGGAGTCGGTGCCTAGCCTTAAATCTTCATTCTGGTCGATACAAGTGGCATCTGTCAATGATTGGTCTCAATTGGAGGTTACCTGTCCATCAATAAACTTGTCACATTGTCAAGGATGCTTTCTCCTAATGGCATCAGGCTGATCAGAGAGAGTCCAGGGCTACACATGAGGGTTGAGTCAACTAAACAAAAATCCTCATGGTGGCCACACAAGGAGGATGAAGTAGACTGCAAGTTAGGGAAACAGTCAAACACTCTGATCCATGAGAAAAGATTCCAGAAATTCCATTATTTTCTCTCCCCTTTCCCATTTTTCACCCTTTCAACTTATCCCATCTCAACATTATTTTCCAGAATGTCCACATATGTAGGTCTGGGAGCCTACATGTGGTCCCTCTAGACATTCCAGCCTTGGCCTCCTCTTTCAACACCTAAAGAAGTTAGAATTCAGTCTCGGTTCCCTAGCTCAACCCACATAAGTTGCTGCACTAACAAACTGGTTAAAAACACAATGAAAACATTAATTAAATCAAGAAAATAAAATTTTCAATCTATGAAGACAGGGAAGACCTTTTCCTCCCCACTAATTGACAATCAGAATGTCCCCACTGCATAGTCAAAGCTTGAGAATAGTTTGTAGAGTAAATTAATGAAACCAAGAGCAACTGAAATCTACCCAGGCATGTCTCTACTCCCACTTCCATGGGGGTCATCAGTAACAGAGGGTCCATCTTCATTATTCACAGTCTGTCTGTGCTATTTGGCCTACCTGCTGACATTGACTAGTAACCCCCAGACATATGTGCTCACCACTATTTATAGACACATAGAGTGTCCTGATATGTGTCACCCACCTCAGGTGTTCCAGATGAGGCTGGACCAGGGGTCTCTCTGCCTTCCTGTGTTAATTTCCTCACTCTAAACATGTGTCTTGTTCACAGTCCACTTGGTGCAATGTTTTCTTCATTTATAGCATCTTTCTAGGTGATATTAGTGCTTAAAAATGTCCTGGAGCACAGAACTACAGGTCTGTCTGGTGTCCTAAGCATAAGAAGGTGGGATGTGCCTCACAGGCAAAACACTTGTGTAGGTGAGGCTTACTCAGGCTGTGGGCCATGAGTTAATGAAGGTCTATGAGGGAATGAACAATGAAACAATAAATCCAGGAAAAGGAATAGGACAATTGTGATGTCTATGAGGAGTCACTCCAGAAAGTGCTAAGATAACATCTCTGACACTAGGAAGATGCCATGGGAAAGGGAGAAAATAGGTAGATTCATGTATTCCTAAGACCATGAGGCACATTCATGGATTCTTGTTTGTTTCTAAAACCATCATGAGCAGCACAGTTGTGTGAGTGAAAGCCAAAGATCCTGGCGATCACAGTACCCAAGCTAGGAAATGTTATACATTTCTGAGCTAGTATTTCAGTATTTGGAAATAAATTATACATACAATAAATTATTCATATATATATATATATATATATATATATATATATTCTCTCCCTCTCTCTCTTTCTCTCTCTCTCTCTATATATATATATTAGAGAAGCTGACTTTTTTTATTATATTTTGTTAGTCACCATACAGTACATCCTTAGTTTTTGATGCAGTGTTGCATGATTCATTGTTTGCTTATAACACCCAGTGCTCCATGCAATACACGACTCCTTAAGACCCATTACAGGGCTAATCTGTCCCCCCATCCCGTCCCCTCTAAAACCTTCAGCTTTTTTCCCAGCGTTCATAGTCTCTCATGGTTCGTGTCCCCCTCTGATTTGCCCCCCTTCATTTTTCCTTTCCTTCTCCAAATGTCCTCATGTTATTCTTTATGTTCCACAAATAAGTGAAACTATATGGTAATTGTCTTTATCTGCAAGACTTATTTCATTTAGCTTAATCTCCTCCAGTTCCATCCATGCTGATGCAAATGGGGGTATTCATTCTTTCTGATGGCTGAATAATATTCCATCATATATATGGACCACATCTTCTTCATACATTCATCTTTTGAAGGCCATTTTGGCCCCTTCCACAGTTTGGTGGTTGTGGATGTTGCTGTTATTAACATTGGAGTGCATGTGCCCCTTCTTTTCACGACATCTGTATCTTTGGGGTAAACACCCAGCAGTGCAATTCCTGGGTCATAGGGTAGCTCTATTTTTAATTTTTTGATGAAACTCCATGCTGCTTTCTAAAGTGCCTGTACCAACTTGCTTTCCCACCAACAATGCAAGAGGGTTCCCCTTTCTCCACAACCTCTCCAACATTTGTTGCTTCTTGCCTTATCAATTTTTGCCATTCTAACTGGTGTAAGGTGGTATCTGAATGGGGTTTTGATTTGAATTTCCTTGATGGCTAATGATGTTGAACATTTTTTCATGTGTCTGTTAGCCATCTGTATGTCTTTTTTGGAGAAGTGTCTGTTCATGTCTTCTCCCCATTTCTTGACTTGATTATTTGTTTTTTGGATGTTGAGTTTGAGAAGTTCTTTATAGATATTGGATACCAGCCCTTTATCTGTAGTGTCACTTCCAAATATCTTCTCCCATTCTGTGGGTTGCCTATTTGTTTTTTTGACTATTTCCTTTGCTGTACAGAAGCTTTTGATCTTGATGAAGTCCCAAAAGTTCATTTTTACTTTTGGTTCCCTTGCCTTTAGAGACATGTCTTGAAAGAAGTTGCTGTGGCCAATGTTTAAGAGGTTACTTCCTATGTTCTCCTCTAGGATTTTGATGGATTCCTGTCTCACATTGAGGTCTTTCATCCACTTTGAGTTTATCTTTGGGAATGGTGTAAGAAAATGGTCCAGTTTCATTTTTCTGTATATAGCTGTCCAATTTTCCCAGCACCATTTTTTGAAGAGACTATCTTTTTTCTATTGGATATTTTTTTTATGATTTGTGGAAGATTAGTTGACCATAGAGTTGAAGTCTGTATCTGGGTTCTCTATTATGTTCCATTGATCTGTGTGTCTGTTTTTGTGCCAGTCCCATGCTGCTTGGTGATCACAGCTTTATAATATAGCTTTAAATCAGACAATATGATTCTCCCAGGTTGGTTTTTTTCCAACACTTCCTTGGCAATTCGGGGTCTTTTCTGGTTCCACACAAATTTTAGGAGACGCTGTCTTTAAACAGAAACACACATGGAATCAGACCAGGTGGTCATCAGTTGGCAAGCGTTGTAAGCAGAGGTTCCCAGAAACCCAACTCCCCATTTCCCCCAGGAGCAATGGCTCAACAGTCACTGACTCTGAGTCCTCAGGACTGTAACAGGGCAGCCACAAATGCCAGGAAGCACTGTATGTACAGTCCCCAGTGGATCTCCATTCATTCCCGACCACAACACTCCTGTTCTCTTTCCTGGAGCGTCTCTTTTCCCCTCAGGGATGCACTTACACTGCTACCTCTCAGACATCACATTTATGCAGATATGAATCTGTTGCTGATTTTGCTAAAATGCGAGTTGTGATTCATTGGGTCTCAGCTGAGGTCAAGACCCTGTATTTACAACAAGCCCCATGCTTACAACAGTGCTGCTGTCCCCAAACCCCACAAACAGCAAGCACCCTGCCTTCCTTTTTTTATTCAGAATACTTGGAGCTGCAGGTCCACTCCAGTAGGTGTCTGTAATTATATAATACAAATCTTCACATGAAAACTTGTTTCTATTTAGGGGCCTGGAGATGTCAACAAGAACAGGGAAATTCTGAAAACTGTGGCCCAGTGAGACACTTGTAACATTAACAGTACCAAATATTTCAACCACTACAAACATGTCAGGAAGCAAAAGAAAAAGAAGAACCTATGAATTTGGTATAAATTCAATGTAGGTTTTTTGGTAATATTTTATTAATTTATTTGGGAGAGAGAGAGGTAAAGCACAAGCAAGGGAGAGGTGGAGGAAGAGAAACAGAGAGAGAATATCCAACAGACTCCTCGCTAAGTACAGAGCCTGATACAGAGTTCAATCCCAGGATCCTGGGATCATAACCTGAGCTGAAGTCAGATGCTTGAACAAATGAGCCATCCAGTGCCTCTTAACACAGATTTTTATTAAGGACATATTCTGTGCAAGTGATATTCCTTGCCAAGAATGCAAATATTAAAAAGACATGAATTTTCCTCAACAATCTTAAGAATTATAAGGGAAAAGGGACCTACTAGGGGCAATAAAGGCAGAGGGGGCAGGAATAGAATTGCTACAGTGCAAGTCAAAGTGGTAGATATTCTCATAAGTAAAGTGATTCTACTTGTGAACTACAAGTGGGCTCACTGGAGGAAATGACATCTGATGTCTGTGACCCATGAAAGTTGCTGGGACTTCTTTTTACGTGAGTCAAATTTTGAGATTTAAGTTCTAGAACCATGTCAGAAAAACAAATCCCACTAAATTACACTGAGCTTCTATTGACAACTGAACATTAAGCAGAACTGAAAGACAAAGTTACACACACAGAGTTGCAAGGACTTCACCACTGAGTTGGGTTTAGGTCAGTACTGGAGCCTGTGCTGCTGGGATCTTGCTCAGAAGGGAAGCCAGTGCACTGATGTCTCCAGTGTGTTTTCCTAGAAGGCACAGAGGAAGGAAGAGTCATTCTGCAGCAGGGGGAGGTGAGGACCACAATAGAAAAGGGCACTGGGAGCAGGAGGGCTGAGGACAGACTGAAAGGTGGGAGACACCTGGGAAAGAGCAGGAAGGTGGTTCCAGAGACTTACCAGCACTTCCAGAGCCACAATGCCAGACCTGCCAGAAGCACCAGGGGCACCATCAGCACCAGGAAGATGAAGCCCATGGAGTGGGGCTGCTCTGTGGGTTTGGTGCACAGAGGGTGTCATTTCCCATCCACCCCAGGGTTGAACTGCACGTCCCTGGTCCTCTTTGCTCCTGTTACCCTCTGCCTCACCAACTGCCCTTCTTCCTCTTTCTTCTCCCATCCCTCCTCAGATATAGACCCTTCACCCAACCCAATGCATCCTCACACATCTGTAGGACCCTCACCCTAGCTCTTCCATTTCTTGAATTACTGATTTTTTTTTCTTAGTTTTTCTGGTCTGGAATCCTTAAAATACCCAAAATTTCAAAAGGCTCCCAGATCTGCTGGAGGACCACTCACCCCCTTTCCCAGCCGGGTCCAGGCTCTTTCTCACCCCAGTAGAGGACCATGTCCGGGTCTCCTAGACTGCTGTGTCTCACCAGACATGACAGGCCAGCTGCCTCCATGGCTTTCACATCCAAGGACACCCAAAGATACCATGTCCCATCAGCATGAGGCAGAAGGTCACCTCGCTGGGTGCCCTGTTGCTCCTGCTCACCCTGCATCCACATCACCCACACAGGCTTTAGGTAGAACCCAGAGACATGGCACACCCGCAGCAGACATCCACGACAGGGACTGGAGCCAGTGGACAGCCAGGCCTCTGGTCTCACTGCAGACACAGGACAGCTATTCACAGACTGAGAGGGTAGACCTTCACATCACATTATATAGACACAACCTATCACCTCTAGAAATTGTCACCATTATCCCCTCTCCCTCTTGCCTCCTTCTTACCCTGAATTTGAGGGAATGATACAAATTTATGAGAGCAGAATGCAGAACACTGGAGGGAGGGAGTAGGACTGACCTTGTCGCTGGAAATATGCCTTCCCTGCTTCAAGAAGACCCAACAGGAACCGGGGGCAGGTGTCACTGAGGAGCGTGTATAGTATTTCATTGAAAATATGATCCTGATTGAATAGTGTGCAGACCTTCTGAGCCGTGTTTCATCCCTTTGGAGATGGCCACCATGACGTGTTCTGGAAACTAACGAGATCTGATCCTTGGTAAGCAATCCAGGCAAAGCCAACTGATGCTTCTCCAATGTGCAGCTCGCAGCTTCCTGCTGCCTGTACCTGAAAGGGATCTGGGAAAAGAGGCCGGGATTTAGAGGACAGGAGAGAAAGAAATGAAAAGAGATGAGTGGAAGCCAAGGATGGTGGAAGCAGAGGGTGAAATTCAGGGGACTGGAGGGAATGGAGAAGAGCTAGGTTTCAGCAGAGTCTCACACATTAGTGGTCACTAGAGGGTCTGAAGGGAGAGGTGAATGATTGAGAAAGTAATAAATGTTGGAGGAGAGACATGAAGAGTGTGGGCAGAAAATAGGGAAGGGTTCAGTGGAGAGTTGGGGTAAAAACAATCTAGGTTGAAGGGAGTGCAGTGAGGTACAAAGAACACATAGAGTTCAATGATGGGATTAAACAGGGATGAAAGCACAGTTCAAGAAGTCAGTCACTGAGTGAGGGAAGAGTGGGTGGGTACCTGGTTGGAGACCAGTGAGGGGGGGTGTCACAGGAGAAACTTTATGAGACAGGAGAACACAGCTTGTAGTCAATGAGAGGAGTGGGAAATAGCAGAAGATGTGAAGATTTTTAAGGGTCTGGCTTCTACCTCTTGCCCACACAAGTGTGATTCAGAGTTATAATAGGGAGATATGAGTTTCAGAAGCCAGTGGAGTTGCTATCCTAGAGGAAAAATAAGCTCAAAGACACACACACACACACACACACACACACACAGCTGCCACCCTCATCTCACCCAGGAGGAAACTGAACTCACATTCAAACTGCCATTCACTGACATGATTACAAATTATCTGAAAAAATCTCATAGCGTTTGTATGGAGTATCCTTTCCAGTTCTGTGAGCATCTCCCTGCTAAAGTTGCCCTTGGACCAAAGCTGCAGATATGTGAAAATTCCAGTCTTTCTGTCCCAGGCATGGGTCTGCAGCTCATCCACCCAAGCTGAGCCCAAATTTTGTGCCCAGGAATGGTTGTAAAAGGATGAGATCAGGATGATTTGGAAGGAGATCGGCTCCTGGAAATCTGTGGAAAAGAACAGTTTGATACTGGAAGAGGAGCACATGGAAAGGAGAGAGAATGGAGAAGATAGGGCCAGGGAGGGGAACCAAAATCTAAAGGACAGGGAAGCCATAGTTGTCTCGGGAGACATGTGCTGCCCCACAGCCCAGAGCTTCATACCCAGCCTTCAGAAGAGCACAAGGCCCTGGGGTTGGGATTGCTCAGGAAGGAACCAGGCAGACGCTCTCATTCCCAGGTATGTGCTGGGGAACCAACACCCCCAGTGTACACATGCACATGATTGCACAAATATACACACACAACATACACACATTTACACACTCCCACAGAAACATACCCACAGACACACATGCATACATGAGTACACACACATACAAACGCATGTAGTACATGTATCACAGAAACAGATACACACACACACACACACACACACACACACACTGTCTAGGGCCACAGTTCTCACCATCTTCACTGTCACCACCTGGGAGGAGAAACACCAGCAACACAAGTTGCAAGAACAGCATTGTATTTGCAGATGTTCTTTCTTTCTCTTAGAAAGTTGGTCTTTGACAGTTGTTTTAACAAACCTACCCCCCACATAGCACTTCTCTTCTGACTTCCTCTCCACATACGACCTTCCCTGAGTCTCTGAAACAATGCAAATATGTTTCTCCCTCAACCCTGGACACCTACTCAGAATCTCACTTCCCCTCATGGTCTGACTCTCCTCTCTGGCTTCCATCTTCTCCCTGTCACCAGCTTCCATCCTGCTCCCTGTCCCTAACTCAGTTGCTATAGAATGAATCCTATGAAGCATAGAAAATGACCCTACCTCTCCTACATTTTCTTCTCATCCAGATAGTAACCCATGAAAACGCATGGCTCCCACCACCCAGCCTGGAAACTGCTGCCATCGGGTCCCTAATGCCCTTGTGACAACACCCCATGTATTTCCTTCCCTATCTCACCCCACCCTAACTCATTCACATCTCTGACTTCTCATTGTGTTAAAAACCAAAATCAGGGGCGCCTGGGTGGCTCAGTGGGTTAAAGCCTCTGCCTTCAGCTCAGGTCATGATCTCAGGGTCCTGGGATCGAGCCCCGCATCGGGCTCTCTGCTCAGCAGGAAGCCTGCTTCCTCCTCTCTCTCTCTGTCTGCCTCTCTGTCTACTTGTGATTTCTGTCTGTCAAATAAATAAATAAAATCTTTAAAAAAAAAAAAAAAAACAAAATCAACCAGGTAGATTTGAGGATCTAATTGGTCTTATTAAGTGATTCAAGAATGGGGCAACATCCCATCCAGCCAGTAGAGGAGAGCTCTGAAGAGTGGTGCAAATGGGAAGATTTTATAGCAAGGAAGTTGGCAAAGAAGAGAAAGGAGTGTTTCAGGGAAGGTCACCTACCCTTAATTGGGAGAGCAGGAGTGATATCATAAGGATAATCTCCCCTCCTTGGGGTTGGAGAGGGCCCATGTGACAGAGTAGTTCCCTGGTGCTGACCAGAGAATTCCTCAGTGACAGGTGGACATTTCTGGGGGGAGTTAGAACTGCATTTAGGTTAGGGAGTAAGCAAGGTTTGAGGACTTGGCATGGCCCATGGCACCATTTTGGGCCCACTTTTTTGTTCAACAGTTAATCTATTTGTTTGTCCAGATTCCCCATGATTGCCTGCAACTACCAGTCCACCACTGTCTTCAGGAAGAACCAGTAGCAATTACAGAGACCACAGGACATTGAAACAGCTGCCTTGTGTTAACATATATTCACTCAGCAGTCACTTACACCCGCCTGGATCTAAGCACTGTGCTACTCTGATGAAAATACAGCGTTGACAGCCCAATCCCTTTTTCAAGGAGCTTTCACTCTACTTGAGAAGAAAAACATGTAAACCAAGACTATTAATTTTGGTGTTCTGAGATTTATTGTAAAATGCACACTCTAGACAGAAACAAGCCTGCTTGAAACAACATTTTCTAAAGTGGTGACCATTGTTGATGCTTGCTTTCTCAGAATCTTGACTCACTGTTTGGCCCCAGGTGTTTCTACCTCATCATGATCCCCACATCTAAGGGGGGGCCTGGCAAGTGGTATGTGCTCAAAGATTATTTCTGAATGATCGATTAATTCAGCTCTGGGATCCAATTATTCTTAAATATTATGGAAATCTTCAACATAAATTTTTTTAGCATCCCAAAATATTACTTGTAATCCTATTTGATAAAATGAGAATCTTACACAGTTTTGTTTAGAATAAAGCCAGATGCTAATAATCGGGATGTTTACACAGAGGGTCCTGCTGTGAATCTCCTATTACTTGTAATAAGAAACCATGAGAATTTGTAGCAGCGGAAGTTAATAGAGTGTTCTGGAATCATGTATCCAGATTCCCTTCTTACTGTTCCTGCTTGAATGTTCCTTGCTTGTCTTACCATGAGCTGGCCTCTGCTGGACATGCTGCCCTTCCTCTTTCATGGCGTTTGTAAGTGTCTAAAAGCTCTTCAGTATTTGTTTGTGCTTTATATCATCTGGATAAATGTGTTTGAACTATTTGCCTTGTCATTTCTTGATTTACAATTAAACAGAAATAATCTCGGGCTAATATTATAAAGATAACATTTTTTGGAAAGTTAAGATTGGAATCTAGAAAACCGGAAAGAGATCACTGCTGTATTTAATCTTATGAAAAGCTGGATCATCCAAATCCCCTGACTCTGTCACGGCTAAAGAATCAGAGCAACTGAACCTACAATCTAGGAAACGACAGTCTCCCCCAAGGAAACGGACATGCAAACCCTCACTTACTTGGGACAGATGCCGGATGTTCTATAGCCAGAAGGAAAAATTCCACTAAAATGATTAACAAATGTCCAAAGGTGAGCACCTGGAGCCTTCGAGAGTCGCGGACTCAGCAAGTTCTCTGTCTCTTTAGGCTTCTTCCCGTTGACGTTACCAGGGGCTCCTGACAGGCTGGAATCCAGGATATGGACAAGAGAACTGCTTTCTTGGGGTACAAGCCTGAGGCCTGAGAGGACCTGCCACCTGAGAAGGGCAGGAAGGCCATCATCTCCCACATGGAATGAAGCATTCATGAGGTGTGGGGAGGGCAGGCAATTGCCTCAGCACACAGGTGAGGCCATGCAGCCGCTGGGGGAAAGGGCCCGTAGGGAAAGGAGAGTACCACATCCTGTCCCGGACTAAAGAAGCACCATCTGCTGAGAAAAAGGTGGGAACCCTTAGATGGCCCAATCCTTAAACTGAAAAACAAAGCCCCAGGCTGAGTATGAGTCTGTATCAGAACAGAGTTAGTGTCCTGCTCTGTCCAAAGTAGGCTAGCCAGCAGGGTACAAAGAGCAGCTCCTGCCAATTGTTGGGGGGGGGGGGGCAGTAAAAGGATAAAGATGTCAAGGAGAAAGAATTTTCTCTGCCTTTCACAGTCCCTCTCACTAGACTAGAATCAGATTGACGTGAAATAGATTAATAAGAGAAAATAAAATTCAATTGCATAAGTCAAGGAAATCCACATAGACATGAAATTCCAAACACATTGAAGCAACATGAAGCTTATGTGAGCTCAGGAGAGGTATAGGGGTCTGGGGATACAAAGCAGGGAAGACCATTAGTGGAAAGGTGAGAAGAGAGTTTGGGGGGAAAAGGTGCTCTATTATGCAGATAAATGTCTTAGGTAAAGAAGAATCTCTGTTAATAGCTCTCTTCCTGGGGCGCCTGGGTGCCTCCGTGGGTTAAACCTCTGCCTTCGGCTCAGGTCATGATCCCAGTGTCCTGGGATCGAGCCCCGTATCGGGCTCTCTGTTCATCAGGGAACCTGCTTCCCCCCCTCTCTCTCTCTACCTACCTCTCTGCCTACTTGTGATCTCTCTCTGTCAAATAAATAAATAAATAAAATCTTAAAAAAAAAATAGCTCTCTTCCTGGTATTGGCAGACAGGGGAGGGGGAGGTAAAGACCTTTTCTTGAATCTGCCTCATTTTTATTGCTTTTAACTAAAAATATTGTTTTTGTCAAAGTCACCCATCTTGGAATGGCCTGCTATTGGTCTCTATAAAGATAAATCACCCTCAGGCATATCCCAAAGGTAACACTCACAGTTGATAGGAAGCAAGCCCTCAGGAAAACAACCCCACCCTACAAAGAAAGTAATGGGAAAAGAATGTGAGGACTGTGGACAGAACCACCAACAAAAACCCAGGTACCTGGACGAGAGGGACTGAACCCCCTACACAGCACTTAGCAAAAGAACAGGCAGAAATATTTCCATGCTAAAATATATATTCTATATGCCTCGGAGTCTTATCTTAATGAGATGTCTGCAGTTTGTTCAAAAATTATTAAATACGTGCAAATAAATGCGGAAGAATGATGTCCCCCTGGCACCTAAGAGAGTGTGCACTTGCCCTCTGAGTCCCTATACCCAGGGGAGAGTGACATTTTGCACATGAAATGAAGAAAACCTACAGCAACAACAAGAAACACTATGACAGGTTGAATGGTAAGTACTTCAAAGGAAGGAGAAGTTTTTGTATTTTAAGGTCTTTAAGAGCACTTTTTCCCCCTGCTTTTTGAGTATGACACCTCACAATTGCCTTTTGTACTGGACCCTGAAAATTATAAGTGTCCAGTGCTTACATGCTTAAGTTTGGTGTGGGGATAGTGGGAGGGGGTGGTGGGTTTGAGCAGGAAGAAGAAAGAGTGATAACGAAATGAGGAGTGCAATTCTGGGATCAAAGTGTCCAGAGATGATCAGAGACACCAAAGGAAGTAACAGATGCAAGAGAGGGAGGGAGCCAGAAGACAGAGTGTAAGCAAGAAGAGTTAGGGGTCTCCAGGAAAAAATTAAAAAGGCAAAACATAGCTTTCCTGACATAAGAAAAGTCACTTTAAGCGCCCCAGTCATTCTGTGAAAGTAGGTATTAACAGCCACTATCAGGCCAGGAGAGAGTCTAATCCTTCCACAATAAATCCGTGGTAAAACTCACAGGGCTGGTTCAAAAGTGAAGACTAACCTGACACACTCTTGAGTTATCTTTGCAGTATCTAAGCCTGTTGGAGCACCCAGATGTTGGACCTATGGGGGTCAGATTATTGGTGACGCCCACTTCTGCTGACCTCATGACTGACCCGAACTCTGTCATCTTCAGGTGACTTTTCCCCCAGTTCAATGCTGAATTCCTCCTTGCACAAGTCCCTTCTTGCAAATACATGCATTGCCCATACTTTAAACTTGTTCAATTTTGTTGTCTGTGGAAACACTGCTTTGGGAAAATCCCCAGTGTTCACCTTACTTATTGCAAGTAAAACCCTTCCTTGTCCTATTCTTTGGCTTGGTTGTGTCTTTTGGCTCAACACCTACCAAGAGGCAAGCAGAGTTTCAGAGTTTCAGTTTCAGTTTCAGAGTTTCAAACAGAAGGAAGAGAAGAAAGAGGTGAGGGAAGAGGAAGCAGAAAAGGGCTGGAAATTGAAGTGGAGTGGAGCCCCTCATCCTTCGGCTCAGGTCCTGTGAGCAGGGGT